TCCGCAGGCGCCGTGAGGCCGGGCCGCGCCCAGAAGGGCCGCGCTTCGCCTTCCTTCCAAAGACTGCCCTCCCTGCCCCGAGACCCTGGACGGGCAGCTGAAGCCACTTCCCTCTTTCTCCCGGGGAAGCCTCGCCGCCCCCTTCCCGGGGCGCAGCCCAGACGCGCCTACCTGGTGCAGGTGCCCCCCCTCCTTCCCCCCGCTCACCTGGGCCAGCCGGAGCCTCTTGTCCGGGGCGGCCTGGATGACCAGGGCGATCATGGCCAGGTAGGTGTAGGGCGGCTTGGCGTAGCGGCTGTACTTCTTCTTGGCCTTCGGGCCCGACGCCTCCTGCGCGCCCATGGCCGGCGGGTGGAGAGCAGGAGGCAGGGGGCTGCTGGCTGCTGGGCCGGCTCTGGCCAGGTGGCGCTGGAGGAGGAGGAGGAGGAGGAGGTCAAGAGCTCCGCCTGGCCGGCCCCCAGCCCACCTTTTCTCATGCTGATTTGGGAGGCAGACGCCCGGCACCAGGCGGCGGGGGGGCGGCAATTAGCAGCCCGCCACTAATCACTGGGGAGGGAGGGGGCGGGCGGGCACACCCACCCCCACCGCTTTTGCAATCCCCGCCTGCGGATCCACACTGGCCCAGGCGGCTTAGACCAGACCCCCACCGGGGGAAGCATCGCTGCGGACAAAGGCCTCCCTGGGGGGGAGCCCGGGAGGGCTGTGGATTCCAGCGGGCATGGCCCTGCCCGGCCCCGGGTTCGAGGTCACCGGCAGGAAGCGACCGTCCAGGTCTCGTCGCTTGACCTGCCTGCTGCCCCAGGGCCGCAGTCGGACGGCTGGAAGTGGGAGGGAGCGCTGAGCCTTTGGTGTTCTGCCCGCAGTCTGGGGAAGGGTCTGGGGAAGGGGGCTCCGGACCAATGCTCCCTCTAAGCTGTGGAGTCTTGTGAGCAAAAATTCTACTTTGTGAGCTCATGGCATTCAAGTTGAGAGCGAGCCATTTGGCTGCTGCATAAATCAGTTTGCTTTGGAACCCTCCCTTCCTGAGCAAAGACAAAAATGTGTGAGCCGGAGGCTAAAAATCTGTGAGCTAGCTCACACCAACTCAGCTTAGAGGGAACTATGCGAGTCTGGACCCCAGGAGGAGCGCTTGGTGGGAGCCAGGATCTCTGCTCCGGGGGTAGTCATTCATGCCAAGCGTTTCTCTCTCCCCCTTCGCCATCGACAGGCCTGCAAAGCAGCTCATGGCAGGCAGTGGTCTCTCTAAGCTGAGCGAGTGCGAGCTAGCTCACCGTTTTTTTAGCCTCCGGCTCACACGTTTTTGTCTTAGCTCAGGAAGAATGGCTCCAGAGCAATGTTCCCTCTAAGTTGTGGGGTCTTGTGAGCAAAATTTCTACTTTGTGAGCTACTGGCATTAAAGTTGGGAGCAAGCAATATGGCTGCTGCATAAATTCGCTTGCTCTGGAGCCCTCCTTCCTGAGCGGAGACAAAAAAAATGTGTGAGCCGGAGGCTGAAAATCTGTGAGGTAGCTCACACTAACTCAGCTTAGAGGGAACACTGCTCCAGAGTGAACTAATTTATGCAGGCACCCAATCACCCGCTCTCAACTTTAATGCCAGTAGCTCAGAAAGTAGAATTTTTGTTCACAAGACTCCACAGCTTAGAGGGAGCATTGGTCTTGACCCTCTAAACTGAGTTAGTGTGAACTAGCTCACAATATTTTAGCCTCCGGCTCACACATTTCTGTCTTAGCTCAGAAAGAATGGCTCCAGAGCAAACTAATTTATGCAGCAGCCAAATCACCTGCTCACAATTTTAATGCCAGTAACTCACAAAGTAGAATTTACTCACAAGACTCTACAGCGTAGAGGGAGCATTGGTCTTGCTAGCTCAGTTTTTTAGCTTCCGGCTCACACATTTTTGTCTTTGCTCAGGAAGGATGGCTCCAGAGCAAACTCATTTATGCAGGAACCAAATCGCTCGCTCACAACTTTAATGCTAGGAGTTCACAGAGTAGAATTTTTGCTCACAAGACTCCACAGCTTAGAGGGAGCATTGATAGCAAGTAAATTTTGCTGATAAAAAAAATGAAAGCATCTTCCTCACCAGGATTTCTTTATATATTTATCTGAGGTTTTAGGTGGCTCACACAGTGTAAATCAAAGTGAGGAGCAGAATGCAACGGTGAACCAGCAGTGGAATAAGACTAGGATTACAGCATTTGGAACCAAAGCATGGAGTTAGATTCAGGTGGATCGCAGTGTTGGTCTGACACGATAGATCAGAGTTTGAGTCCAACTTTGCAAACAAAAGTTTATACCCAGAATTTAACTTAGTTGGTCTCACAGGTGCTACTGGAATCAAACTTTGTTCCATAGACCTTGTTAGACAAGGTATGTTACAAGTGGAGTGCGTCAAAGATCTGTCCTGGGGCCCATTTTGTTCAACATCTTTTTTAATGATATGGATGAAGGAATAGAGGGAATGCTTATTAAATTTGCCAGTTTGGTGTAGTGCTTAAGTGTGAGGACTGTAATCTGGGAGAACTAGGTTTGATTCTCCACTCCTCCACTAGCAGCTGGGGGATGACCTCGGGCAAGCCATGGTTCTGTCAGAGCTGTCCTTGAAAGGGCAGTCCTCGAAAGAGCTCTCTCAGCCCCATCTACCTCACAGGGTGTCTGTTGTGGGGAGGGGAAGGGAAAGGAGTTTGTAAGCCGCTCTGAGACTCCAAGAAGAAGAAGAAGATACCACCTTCCACTGTTCCCTCTAAGCTGAGTTAGTGTGAGCTAGCTCACAGTTTTTTAGCCTCTGGCTCACACATTTTTGTCTTAGCTCAGGCAGGATGGCTCCAGAGCAAACCAATTTATGCAGTAGCCAAATGGCTGGCTCACAACTTTAATTCCGGTAGCTCACGAAGTAGAATTTTTGCTCACAAGACTCCACAGCTTAGAGGGAACATTGCCACCTTCTTCTTCCAGATGATACTAAATTGGGAGGGGTAGCGAATACAGTAGAAGACAGAGTCAGGATACAGGATGATCTTCGCAGGCTGGAAAACTGGGCTAAAACAAATGAACTTCAATGGGGATAAATGTAAAGTTCTACATTTAGGTAGGAAAAATGAAGTGCATAATTATAGGATGGGCAAGACTTGTCTTGGGAGTAGTATGCGCGAAAAGGATCTAGTGGTCTTAGTAGACCATACACTTAACATGAGTCAGCAGTGTGATGCACCTGCTAAAAAGGCAAATGCAATTTTGGGCTGTATTAAGGGAAATATAGTGTCCAGATCAGGTGAAGTGATGGTATTGCTTTATTCTTCTCTGGTGAGACCTCACCTAGAGTATTGTGGTGTGTGAGGGGTGGGGGCGCTCTTATATGGTTTACAAACTTTTGTCACATTCGAGTGGACAAACGGGGTCTGGTGTGAAAAAGGACCATCCAGGCCTGTTCCCCGTTTGGTGTAGGGGTTAAGAGCGCAGACTCTAATCCAGGAGAATGGGGTTTGATTCCCCACTCCTCCACATGCAGCTGCTGGTGTGACCTTGGGTCAGTCTCAAGTTCTTTCAGAGCTGTTCTCTCACGAGCAGTCCTTGAAAGAGCTCTCTCAGCCCCACCTACCTCCCAGGGTGTCTGTCTGTTGTGGGGAGGGGAAGGGAAAGGAGATTGTAAGCCGCTCTGAGACTCCTTCGGGTAGTGAAGGGCGGGGTATAAATCCAATCTCTCCCCCCCCTTCTCCTCCTCCTCCTGCTGCAGCTATAAGGGCACACAGAGGCACAGGGTGGGGCAGTGGGGGAAGGTAATGTCCTCTTGACAGTCTCTCAAACTCAGCCTGCCGTCAAACCAGGATGCAATTGGGGGGTGGGTCACATCCAGATAGCAAAGGGGAGGGGGTTGTTGTTGGTTTTGCTCTTCTAGCTGCCTGACCTCCCTGCCTTGCATTCCCAGCTGGGGAATTATCTGCCCTCCGTTTGGGGGGACGGGACGGGCTGCTGCTGCTACTGGGAATTTAGAGATCAGCGCCTTTCATCCCCTTGTCCAAATGCCGTGCCTCCAAGCGGCAGCCTCTGCGTCCCTCACGTACCTTGGCCATGCCGGGCACCAGTGTCCCCTCTAAGCTGAGTGAGTGTGAGCTAGCTAGCTCACAGTTTTCTAGCCTCTGGCTCACACGTTTTTATCTTAGCTCAGGAAGGAGGGCTCCAGAGCAAACTAACTTATGCAGTAGCTAAATCATCTGCTCACAACTTTAATGCTAGTAGTTCACAAAGGAGAATTTTTGCTCAAAGGACTCCATAGCTTAGAGGGAACATTGCCGGGCACCAAGGTGTTGCCACATGGGCAGAAGAGAAGCACCCAGCATGCTCCTGGCGGCAGAGAGCCCCCTTTGACGGCTGGGGGGGCCACAGAGCCCTTGACTCCTCAGCCCCACTGCCTTCCGCTGACGCCTTCAGGGATCCTTCCCAGCCAGGGGCCCAGCAGCAATCCCTGCATCTTTAGTGACTGCACAGCAGCCAGACGTTCAACAGATAAAGCTGCTCCTGAAGCTCCTGGTTTAGAAAGCTGCACCTGGAGAGACTGTTTGTGCCCTTGCAAAGGTCACTTTGGCTTCTGGGCTTCAGTGCCCCCCCCCCGCCTACCTGGGATGGTAGCGAGGAGTGGTGTTAAGCTGTCCCCGAGCTGAGAATAATCGGCACCGTCGTCATTCTGAGCGCCGATACAGCAAGTTCAGTGTTCAGAATCACAGGCATTATTTTCTTGCACTCTGACAGCAGGAGGCCGTGTGGGGTTGTCCACAGAGTGTTGGACGACAGCCAGGAAGATGCGGGTTCAAATCCATGCTCTGCTATAAAGTGATAGAGTGATCTATGAACTTTAGCCTGGAGAGGAGCCGACTGGGAGGTGATAGGATCACCCTCTCCAAGTACTTGAAGGGCTGTCATGTAGAGGAAGAGGATGGTGCGGAGGGTTTTTTTTGTTGCCCCAGAAGGTCGGACCAGAACCAACGGGTTGAAATTGAATCAGAAGAGTTTTCGGCTAAACATTAGGAAGAACTTCCCGACAAAAAAATCCTCAGTGGAACAGGCTTCCTCGGGAGGTGGTGGGCTCTCCTCCTTTGGAGGATTTCAAACAGAGGCTAGATGGCCCCATCTGACAGCAGTACCGATTGTGTGAACTTAGGCAGATCAGGAGAGGGAGGGCAGGGAGGGTTGCCTCAGCGCTTAGTTCTCGTGGCCCTTTCTTACTCGCCCAGGGAAATGCTGATTGCCACGTTGGGGTCAGGAAGCCATTTTTCTCCAGGCCAGTTTGGCTGGAGATCCCGGAGGATTTTTTGCCATCTTCTGGGCGTTGAACTGCGGTCACGGGGTGGGAGGGGACGGTATTTGTGAATTTCCTGCCTTGTGCAGGGGGTTGGACTAGATGACCCTGGAGGTCCCTTCTAGCTGTATGGTTCTGTGATGCTATGATTCTGTGATCTTGGACCAGGAAAAGTGAGGGTGGGTGGGAACTCTTGTATACTGCTCTGAAAGCCCTTGCAGGAAAAGTAAGACAAAGATTAATAAACCACTTTGAAAAGTAGGTTGGTATTATGATTCCCCCTGTTGTGGAGTGGGGAGAGAATAGCTTGCCTACAGCTACTGAGAGTGTTGGTGATGGGAAAGGTCAGATTTGAATCCAGGACGTCTCGGATTACAGTTCATCCTCATAGCCATTCCAGAGCTTTTAGCAGTGAGAGCCAGTATGGTACAGTGGTTAGAGTGTTGGAGCAGGATGTAGGAGGCTCAGGTTCGAATCCCCGCTCTGCCACGGAAGCTCATTTGGGGCAGTCAGATGCTCTCCACCTAACCCACCTCACAGGGTGGTTGTGAGGGTAAAATAGAGGGGAGCAACGGAAGCGGCCCTGGCTCCCCAAAGGGCAAAAAGGTGGGGTAGAAATGAAGTAAATCAATCAATCTAATTTATTGCGGCAGGAGCCAGTAAAGAAATGAAGTAAAATAAAATATGGAAATGTTTTGGTCTGTTGTGGCAAAATGAGAAAAGGAGCTTTGTGGCACCTTAAGGACGAGTAAACATCTGGGGACAGATGCTTTCACGCTTGTGTGTTATATATATATATTATATATATTATATATATATATATATTATATGTGTTATATATATATATTAAAAAGAACATTCTAGGATTGTAGAGTTGGGGGAGACTTCAGTGGCGGAGCTCCTGCTTGGCATGCAGAAGGTCCCGCGTTCAACCCCCAGCAGCATCTCCCGTTGGATGGACCAGGTTGGAGGTGATGGGAAAGACCTTTTCCACGAGACCCTGGAGAGCAGCTGCCAGTCTGTGTAAGCAAGACCAGGTGGTTAGGTGATGTGAAAGAGCCGCTGCTGGTCTGAGGAGGCAGTTCTTTTTTAAAAAAAGTTAAAAATTTGTATTGGTGTCTTACATTTCATGGTTGCTGCAGTGGCTCAAGTGGTTAAGACGCTGAACTGCAGGCTGTGGAAGGTTGGTAGTTCAGCAGTTCGAGAGCCGGGTGCCGCATGACGGAGTGAGCTCCCGTCATTCATAATCGTTTTCATCAAGTTTACATAGCCAGACATCAAATACATCAATATCCCCCTTTATTATTCCCTCCCCCCCCCCTTTCACGAGCGATCAGAAGAAGAACCTTATTATTATTTTTTGGTTCAATAACAGTTTATTGAGTGTAATCCAAGTAATACAGTTGAAATATAATATAGACAATAAAACAAAACATAGCGGACATAAAATATCAAGCTAGTCGCTAACAGTAAAAGAGAGCAAATTAATCTATACTTATTTAACCTATCACAATTAACTAAACCAAGAAATCTGTGGGATTTCAATGAGATGTTAACATTGAATGTAATATGCTGCAGATTACTGTAATATCGGTTAGTACGTATAAATATAGCCATTTATGGTATATTTGCTTTGAGGGAAGAAAATCTTGTGTAACCATGTAATCTAGCACGGGAGCCCAAAGACATACAAATTTGGAGTAGATTGGAATAGAGGGATTATGTGCTCTGTTTATACGGTCTGTTATCTTAGCCATTATAAATTGGTCCCAGAATTTGTCTTGCCAAGCAAAAGAACATTATTATTATATCTGTAACTATGAGGACACCCTATGGAGTTTTATCAATACATAGTTATTGCCCCCCCTTACCTATCTTATATACCCAAACCATTTCTTCTTTATCTCCAACACCTTATCTTCCCATGTCTTATCCTGTTTTATTATCCATAAAATATTTGATTGAATCCATTCATATAAGTACCAGTTCCTTCTTTCCAAAGTCCATTTTAAGGTATCTTTCCATCCATACATTATTCGCTAGAATCACAGCTTTAAGTAAATCCTTTTTGGATTTATCTACTTTACTATTTCCCAGAATTCCCATTAATAACACTTTCTCATTCAGCTCAATCTTAACGTTACATAAATTATCGACCTTTTCCAGGATCAGTTGCCAAAATTCCCTTAGAGCATTCCCACCAAAGATGTGCATAATGTCCCCTTACCCTCTCTGACTTCATTCCCTTAATATTTATTTTATTTATATTTATACCCTGCCCATCCTGCGAACAGGCTCAGGGCGGCTAATCATATACGATAATTGAGCAGGTGTCCTATACTTTCGTCTATGCTCCTGCAGAGTGCAGAGGGTTGGACTAGATGACCTCTAAGGTCCCTTCCAACATTCTATGATTCTATGATTTCAAGATTTATTTCATTTCCAATTCTTTAAATTTTTCCATTTTTATTTCCAGTATTCCCTTCATTAGTCTATTTACCTCCTGTGCTGATAGGTTCACCTCCTTCTCCCATTTAGATTGTATTGTCCTAATCATAAAATCCTTATCTTTGTTCGATAGACTATACACGTTCCTTGCAATACCCTTCTTATAGTAATCTTTAGAACTGTAGAGATTTTCAAAGGGGGCAGTTCTGGCCTGGATGGCCCCAGGGTCTGATTTCAGTAGAAGGCAACTTCGTGTGTTCATGTGTATATTAAGAGCATACAGGGTCACATACCTGCCACAACAGACAGGTAATTACCGAATTGCACTTTTTGCCTTCATTAAAAAACCCTGTTTACTATTCTTAGTGTATTATTCCAATTTTAAACGTTTTACACAGATTTTATTTCAATTTAATCCGGTCCTACAGTCATATTCTGATGGTATACTAAACTCTTCAGTTTACTTCTTATTTTACCATCTCTGCTGGATTGTTTTGCTCCAGTAAGTTATGGATGGCTGCCAACAGTGACGAACAATCTCCAGCAAGTAAATTTTCTTTTTCCAGAAATGTTTAAACCTTTTTTCCCTTTTTAAAAAAATATTTTTTATTATTTCCAATACAATACAAAAATAAACATTTGCATAAAATGGAACAGATATTCGGTACTAAGCTGGACAAAAATCAGGACAAACTGAAGCATCCTCTTTTTCCTTAATAGTACCTACCAGATACTATTAGGAACTGCGGTGGCTCAAGTGGTTAAGACGCTGAACTGCAGGCTGTGGAAGGTCAGTCGTTCAGCAGTTCGAGACCCGGGTTGCCGCATGACAGAGTGAGCTCCCGTCTCTCGTTCCAGCTCCTGCCAACCCAGCAGTTCAAAAGCAAGAAATTGCAAGTAGATAAATAGGTACTACTTCGGTGGGAAGGTAACAGCGTTCCGTGCGCCTTGGTGTTTAGTCGTGCTGGCCACATGACCACGGAAACGTCTTCTGACAGCGCTGGCTCTTCGGCTTGGAAACGGAGATGAGCACCACAACCCTAGAGTCGGATCCGACTGGCTTTTGAGCAAGGGAAACCTTTACCTTTACCTAACAGATACTGGGGTCCACAATTCAGTGTAGTGTGGATTCAGGTGGGGCAGCTGTGTTGGACTGAAGCAGCAGAACTAAGTTTGAGTCTAGTGGCACCAACAAAATTTTATTCAAGGTATGAGCTTTCATGCAGCTGACACCTTGAATAAAACTTTGTTGGTCTTAAAGGTGCCACTGGACTCAAACTTTGTTTAGTGTGGTGTAGTGGTTAAGAGTGTCATGCTAGTATCTGGGAG